GGGTGTTTCATTAAACCTGGATATTTTTTAATTTGACTTGTTTTGATTTGACTTGATTGGGATTTTTACATCAGCAGAGAGCTCACATTAGGAAAAATTCCTAGCACGCTTCTATAAGGTTCAATGCGGCTGGCTTTATGCTGAGATCTTTGAACCATTTGGACTTGAGTTTTGTGCATGGTAATAGATATGGGTCTATTTTCATCCTTCTACATGCTGAATCCAGTTATGCCAGCACTATTTGTTAAATGTGCTTTCTTTTATTGTACAGGACTGTTTTGGCTATCCTGGGTTTTTTGTTTTATCATATAAAGTTGAGTACTGTTCTTTCGAGGTCTGTGAAGAATTTTGCTGGGATTTTGATGGGCATTGCATTGAAATTGTAGATTGCTTTTGGTAAGATTGCCATGTTTACTATGTTAATTCTGCCTACCCAAGAGCGTGGGAGACCTTTCCACTTTCTGGTGTCTTCTTCAATCTCTTTCTTTAAAGATTTAAAGTTCTTGTCGTACAAGTCCTTTGCTTGTTTGGTTAGAGTTACTCCGAGATATTTTATGCTATTATGGCTATTGCGAAGGGTGTTGATTCTCTGATTCTTTTCCCCAGCCCTTTTACCATCTGTGTACAGGAGGGCTACTCATTTTTTTGAGTTAATCTTGTATCCTGCTACATTACTGAAAGTGTTTATGAGTCGTAGAAGTTCCTTGGTAGAGCTTTTGGTATCGCTTATGCAAACTATCATATCATCAGCAAACAGTGAAAGTTTCACTTCTTTTCCGATTTTTATCTCCTTGATCTCCGTTTGGTGTCTTATTGCTCTTGCTAGGACCTCAAGAACAATATTAAATAGATATGGAGAGAGTGGACAGCTTTGTCTTGTTCCTGATTTCAGTGGGATCGCTGGGAGTTTCTCTCCACAAAAAGGACTTTTCAATGTAGAAGTGATTCAAGGAGAGTGAAAGAATGAACAAGAGAGAGTAATACAAGTAAAATTACCCAAATATATTATATATGCATAGAACTAATGATAAATTAAATGATTTTATAAAAACAATCGAACTCTAATTACAGAAAATATTCACTCATACACACAAGTGCACACATGCATACACATCATATTTTAAGTTTGTTTTAGGCTGAGCTCACACTCATCTCTGCATACAGCCTACATACCACATATTGGACATGTCTGTAGATCATCTATTTTCTAACAGTTCAATCATTTATTAGTAATTACTTACTGAGTACCTACTGTGTGACAGATACCTCTCTAGTCATTGTAGAAGTGGGAGGGTGCAGAAGTTTGTTCTTATGAGGACCATAGTTTAGTGGGACATTTTCCTTTATACTATTACTTCCACACTCCTTAAAACAACCCCAGTAACACAGAATTGACCTTTCATTAGTATAAATTTCTGATCAGCTATGAAATCTTACTTCTACCATCTTTTAATATTAGTAATTATAATTCAGGAATTATAAAATGGAATGTTTCAACCAGGACCCTTGGGTTCATCATCTTTTACTCTCAGGATAACCACTTCCTTACTAAAGTATACATTTCATACACAGTGTCTTAGTGAATGCTTGGCTGTAAAAGTTATGTCTTCAAGTGCAAACAGTCCTCACCCTAAACCTACTTCTCTGAATCCCCCACCTGGATACAGATGCAGCAGAAAGAGAAATAATGGTTTGAAAACCAGAATACACAATGTGGGGTCTTTTACTTGTCAAAATCAGGTTGTGTCCAATTCTTCCACATGCATTTGCTACTGTGGCCTAGAACAGGAAAGGGGAAACTTGGCCTTAGCACTCATTTCCCTTACTAGAGCAATAATTGAATTCTTCTTGACCTCTTCCAAAGCATTACACTTCCTTTGTTACTTTGTGGGATGTAACTAGTGGAATATAGCTTGTTATCGATCATTAGCATCTTTGATCTCTTGTAACCAGTACATATTTGGAATCCTAATAGATCCATTGCTGTCAGAGCCCAGACAAGGCTGTTTCCTTTCCCTGTTAGTATCATGAGGGTCAAAATGCAACCATGTAAAAAGTGTAAGGTGCCTTTGATCAGAAGAGAGGAGTTTGGTGAGCACTGGAAGAGACAGCTGGGACCCAGCTTTAAAATCTTTCCTCTCAGACTGAGCAGCATCCCGACAATTCCTCAGTGGGGAAATCCACAGGCTTCAGAGCCCTAGAAATCCCAAACACAATTCTTAGAGTTACATTTTAACTCAAATCAAAACCACTTTCATTTCTGTCTCCCTTTTCGACTGCCTCCTACTTCCAAGCTCAACTTCCCACAAAGAAGAGTCTGTAGGTTTGGCATATCCATGACAGTCTCTTTGTAGCTGAGCCAACCTGTGAAGGTTCTGACAGTCTGGTGGCCGCTCTCCAGCATCTACTGCAGAAAATCTTTCCTTGAAGTGCCATCTGGAGAGCTCATGTCTGCATCAACACGCCCCACATTAATTCAGACTGCATGAAGTTACCTCTACAGAGAGCCCTTCTGACGCCTTTGGAAAATTGCTGCCCAGTTTCCTGTGCCCCAAATATAATCTGTCTTCTTTCCCCTTTCTTTCCCTTATTTTCATTCAATGTGCTAAATACTGATTTTCTTAAGTCTATATTTTTAAGTCTGCATGCACCAACAATCCATTAAATGTAAACAACACATGGCTCTGAAGTTTTAATTCAAATTACTATTTCCCCAACATCTAGACCATGGAAATATCCTCAGCATATAATAGACAGCCAAAAAGTACTTACAAATTAAAAAGATAAAGGCTGTGTATTAGTAGGACCATTCATTAGAGGAACAGCACATCTACTGAAATAAGGTGGCAATTCTGTTTTCCAAGGCTGGGAGTTCCTAGGTGTTATCCATAATGCTTTATTAAATAAAATAAGAATATTAATATACATAGGTAGCATCTAAGGTATGATCCACTACCTATACCCTACAACTCCAGAGGAACGAACACAAGCAACTCACTTTAAGGTATATAGAATCTGCCCTGCCAAGCCCACTGTTGGAGGAGGGTCACTTGTTGGTTCCCAGATGGCTGGCCAGCTTAGACCCAAAATAATCACACAGAAACTATATTAGTTAAATCACTGATTGGCCCATTCATTTTAGCTTCTTATTGGCTAACTCTTATATCTTAATTATCTTAATTTAACCCATTTCTATTAATCTGTATATTGCCACTTGGCTGTGGCTTACAGGCTAAAGTTCTGGATGCTGTCTCTGGTGGGGCTACATGGCGTCTCTCTGACTCTGCCCTTCTTTCTCCCAGAATACAGCCTAGCTTTTCCTGCCTCGTTCTGTTCTTCCCTGCCATAGATTCAAAGCAGTTCTTTATTCATTAACCAGTAAAAGCAACACAGAAGCAAAAGGACATCCCACATCAGCCCACTTTCTAGGGATGCTGAAGGAAGTCCCATAAACCGGGTGGTTTAAATAGCAGTCATTTTCTCACGGTTCTACAGCAATGATGATTAGCATGTGAGATAAATCTTGCTAACTTGTTCTTTTTTTAACAAGTATTCTTTGACCATAGAGTAAAAGAAGCATCCCACAGCCCAGTCTCTATGAAATATGACCCAGAATCCATATTCTTTCTTTATAGGCTTAACATGATGCCTTTTATTCTTTGGTCACTGAAGTTCTACAGCCCCCAAACTCATCATCTGCTTCCTAGCAATGGAAAAGTGACTAAGGAAGTTTTTTCTGCATTCTTTTCTGCATTTGTCTGCCAGTCCATCATGATAAAATTCCACTGGATGGGGGAGCTGAACTGGGAGACAGTTATGAAAGGTATAAGTCCATAAGCAAGGTATCAGCGTGGCTGGTACCTCCTGGGGTCTCTCTACATAGTATGTAGATGGCTGTCTTCTCGCTGTGTCTTTACCTCTATGTGCCTCTGTTATTCTGCCCTCTTCTTGTAAGGACATCAGTCATATTGGGTTAGGGACTCTCTGAATGCCTCATTTTAACTTAATTACCACTTTAAAGAGTTATCTTAGAGATCTCAGCAGGGAAGTGGGCAGGAGCACAGAGAATTGAGTCCAGATTCAAATACCCTCAAATCCAAATCAAATCAAATCCAAAACTTAGCTGCCAAAGAGAAGTACTTCTTTTCACATACACTCGACCTGCAGGACAAAAAGGAGGCAGCCTGAAGTACCAGGGTCTAAGAGTATTACCAGGAAAGAACTTAGCCCCTCCACTCTCTGACATGAAGTCTTCAGGGAACTTGGACACTGAAGACACCAAAACTTGCACTCACATCTCCCCTATCCAAAACCAAGTGTATCCTGATAGAAGCAGAACAACAATTTCACCTTTTAACTCAGCACTGCTGTGCCAGCAATTTGCTCCATAAGTGTTCTTTTTAATTCTTATTTTCTATTATTTAACCTCTACATATATGTGTGTATGTGTATATATGTAAAGTTCATGATATTTTGACTTTTGTTTGCATATTGCTCGGTTGTTTGGAGTTAATGTGTGCATTCTCTGCCTAGTCTATTACAGGGTATTCTCTACTATCTTTTACAAGCACATCTCATATACACCCCACTTCTTCCCACATCTTTTCATTTCCTCTCATCTTTGTCCCCTTTACCTTTAACCCTCCAGAGTGTTCACATTCTCTAAACTCTATGGACTCGGACAGCATCCCTCCCTGCTCTCTTTCTTATCCACCTCAATTTCTTTCTTTTCTATGTTGGCTTCTGTGGTATCTGTTCTCAGTTGTCAACTTGCCTTTGTCTAACTAAAAATCCTAAGTAGTTGGGCACACCTGTGAGGGATTTTTGTAGTTATTGTTGTTGTTGAGTTATTTGAGGTAGGAAGACCCAACCACCACACTTTCTGATGGCAGCCTATATGAAGGACACAGAAGAAGGAAGCTTTTGATTTTCACCTGCTTCCCCTCACCCTCACTGGCAAGGCCATTTATGCTGTTGGTAATGCACTCCTGATATTACAGCCTTCTTCTTCAGGATTTCTCCTGTGTCCTGTGTGTACTGAAGACCACCTGAGGAATCCAGCCTCACAGACTTAACAATTGGATTCTTGGACTTTTCATCGGGAGACAGTCATTGGTGGACTACCTAGATCACAGTCTGTAAGTCACTCTAATAAATCCCATATAAAAGTGTGTGTGTGTGTCTGTCTGTCTGTCTGTCTGAGTGCTGTGGGATGTCCTTCTGTATGTGTGTTTCTTTTATTGACTAATGAATAAAAATATTTAAAAAACTGTGTGAAACAATGAAAATAATCCTAACACAGATGTTTAAGACCTCAAAAAAATAACAATAATAAGCATTAGAACCCTGAAAGAGAATGATGCCAAAGCCCAAACCAAAACATCAAAAGAAATCATTCAGAAATTAATGAAATGGAGAGAAAAACAGAAGAACAAAGAATCAGTGATAGACATAATTGGTTTTATGCAAAGATAAACAAGACCAAAGTAAAGGGAAGACCCATGTTAGTAAAATTAGAGGTACAAATAAAACCATTATGACTGATACAAGTAGATTTTACCTTAAAATCATATATGCCTTGGGAGGTTGGAGGGAAGAAGGACAAGAGAGAGTTGAACGGTCAGAGTGATATAATTATACTTAAAGAAAAAATTTAAACATTTAAACTTTCTTAAAAGTTTAAATAAAGACAAATATGACACTAAATAGGGTATTATAAAAGTAATGTTTGATTTCTAGTTGGTGGCCTACAAAATCAAACCAAAGTGAGATAAGCAATTTAAACAGATCTGTAACAAGCTGTGAAATTGAAGCAGTACTTAAGGCTCTCCTGACGTCAAACAGTTCAGGGCCGGGTAGATTCACTGATCAATTTTACGAGATTCAAAGGAGATCCACCAAATACTTCTGAAACTATTCCATAAAGCAGATAAAGAGCACTACCAAACTCTACATACAAAGCTAGTACAATTCTGATACCAAAACCAAATAAAGATACAACAGAAAAGGAAATTACAGACAAAGGTCCCTGATGAGAATAGCTGTAAAAATTCTCAAGATACTATTGAACACATAAAAAGATTATTCCCCATAGTAAACCTGGCTTTATCTTGGACATGGAGGAATGGTTTGTTATTCACAAATAAATACATGTTATAAATGATATAAATGAACTAGGACAGAAATAAAGACCAGAAATCACAGGACCATCTCAATAGAGCAGAAAAGACTTTGATAAAATCCAACAACTTTCAAGCTAAAACTTCTATAGAAACTTATAGTAGAAGGAAATACTCTCAACATATAGTCAACATTATGTTAAGTGGGGGAAAGTTCAAAGTCATTCTCTGCAGAGTAAATATGTCCCTATATAAGTCACCCTAAAAACTCCATTAGAAAACTCTTTAATAAATACTTTTAACAAAATGGCAGCATGCAAATTTTAATTGAAAAAAATATCATCGTTCCTATATATGAATACCAAAGACAAATATATTTAGGGGGAAATTTCAGGAAAGCAACATCATTTTCAATGTCTAAAAATGGTCAGAGGATAAGCCTAATCAAGGAAGTCAGAGGCCTCTATATTACGAACCTTCCAACACTGAAGAATGAAACTGAAGAAATCACTAAAAGCTGGAAATTCCTGATTTCAAGGAACACTACACAGCCACAGTAATAAACAGCACGGTCCTGGCTCAGAGATAGACACAGTGATGGATGGAATAGGGGAAAAAAGACCCAAAGAAAAGCCCACATAACTAAAGCAACCCAATTTTCACAGAGATGCAGAAATGTATGTTGCAGAAAAGACAGGCCTGTCAATAAGGGGTGCTGGGAACTGGTATCTGTATAAAGTCCCTCCTTCACCTAACACAAAATTGAGCACCAAGTGGGCCAAGGACCTCAACACAAAGCATAGATCTTCAAGAGAAAAAAGTAAGTAGCACATTTCAAAATATAGGCATAAGTAAAGGCTTTCTAAATATCTCCAACTGCTTAAGAAATAAGGTCACTAATCCACAATGAGACCTCATGAAATTAAAAGGCATGCGTACAGCAAGGGACATTATCACCCGAACGAAGCAGCAACCTGCCGAATAGCTGAAAATCTTTGCCGGATATATATCTGATAGATGAATACACACAAAAAGTAAATATCAAACAAAATGATAATAACCAGATGATCCGCTCAAAAAGCAGACTATAAAATGAATAGTGAGTTCGAGTTCTAAAAAAAAAAAAAAAAAAAAAAAAAAAACTTTAGTCATCAGGGGGATGAAAGCAAAGGACGGTGAAGATTTGGAAAAAAGTGCCAATATTCACAGTTGATAAGAGTGGAAATCAGTAAGGTCACTATGGTAGGAAGTGGACAAAAAGCTAAAATTAATACACTGTATGACAAACTATACCACTCCCAAAAGACTCCATATTCTACCCCAGAGATACCTGCACTTCCATGTTCATCGCTGTCCTATTGAGAGTAGTTAGGAAACAGAATCGGTGTCGATGTCCATCAAATGACAAATGGGTAATGACAAGGCTCATATTCATTCCATATATGCAATGGGATTTTATTCAGCCCTAAAGTATTGAAATTATGAAAATTTCAGGAAAATGAAACTGGACAGTACAATTCTAAGTGATATAACTCGGGCCCAGAAAGACAAATACCCAATTTCTCTCTCATGTGTAGTTTCTTGCTTTAGGCATTTAATTCATGTTTAACTTGGAGTGCCTGGAGAGCTTGGGACGCTAGGAAAGATCCGTGAGAGAGATGAGGGAAAGGCGCTTTACGTGGAAAGGGAATGGCAGACTACTGGTGATGTGAGAGCTGGAGAAGGAACACCCATCTCCTTGGGGTTTAAGTAGGGATAGGAATGTTTGTGACGGGGAAGATGAGAAGATGTGGTAAGCCTAACCAAAAACTTAGGCTACCCACTACCTTATAAACTAGTTTTTTAGAATATAATTTTACATGTGTATTACAACAAAACATCTTGCATGTGTGAATAATACTGGTCCCAACAGCTATGGGTTATTAAATGAAAATCCCAGTACTGGGCATGGGGTAGCTCCTTATAGGTTGTTGGTCATGTCTTCTGGACATGACATAGTCCTTGTACGTGGCTAGGATCACCAGCATAAGACGTATGCAAGATGGAGCCAATCAACACTTCAACATGGATAAGAGAAGGGCACATGATACTCCATGCTGAGTTGAGGAGCTATTGGTGGTCATTTTTCTTCAAGTTGTCTGTTATCTAATAAATGACACCCCACTCACACTTATAAGGCAACCCCAATTAAACTCTGTTGGATTATTTTTTTAGATGTCTTTTATTAATAATAATAATAATAATTTATAAAAAATTTCCACTTCCTCCCCTCCTCCCAATACCCTCCCACTACCCCCACTCCCTCTCCTCCTCCCTCTCCAGTCCTAAGAACAGTAAGGGTTTCCTGCCCTGTGGGAAGTTCAAGTTCCTCCCCCCTCCCTCCAGGTCTAGGAAGGTGAGCATCCAAACAGACTAGGATCCCAAAAAGCCAGTACATGCAGAGGAAACAAGTCCCAGAGCCATTATTAATGGCTTCTCAGACAGTCCCCATGTCAGCCACATTCAGATAGTCTGTCTTGATCACATGCTCGTTCAGTCCCAGTCCAGTTGGCCTTGGTGAACTCTCATTAGATCAGTCCCCTTGTATCAGAGGGTGAACGCCCCCCTCGCGGTCCTGACTTCCTTGTTCATGTTCTCCCTCCTTCTGCTCCTCATTTGGACCTTGGGGGCTCAGTCTAGTGCTCCAATGTGGGTCTTTGTCTCAATCTCCATCTATCGTCAGATGAAGGTTCCCTCTGATCCTGACTTCCTTGCTCACGTTCTCCCTCCTTCTGAAAGACCTCCCTTGCTCTTGGATTGGGAGAATCAACATAGTAAAAATGCCAATTCTACCAAAAGCAATCTATAGATTCAATGCGATCCCCATCAAAATCCCATCAAACTTCTTCACAGACCTTGAGAGAACAATAATCAACTTTATATGGAAAAACAAAAAACCCAGGATAGCCAAAACAATCTTATACAATTAAGGAACTTCTGGAGGCATTACCATCCCTGACGTCAAACTCTATTACAGAGCTACAGTATTGAAAACAGCTTGGTATTGGCATAAGAACAGAGAAGTCGACCTATGGAATCGAATAGAAGACCCGGATATTAACCCACAAACCTATGAACATCTGATTTTCGACAAGGGAGCTAAAGGTATACAATGGAAGAAGGATAGCATCTTTAACAAATGGTGCTGGCATAACTGGATGTCAACCTGTAGAAGAATGAAAGTAGATCCATATCTATCACCATGCACAAAACTCAAGTTCAAATGGATTAAAGACCTCAAGATTAATCTGACCACCTGATAGAAGAGAAAGTGGGAAGTAGTCTACAAAATATAGGCACAGGAGACCACGTCCTAGGTAGAACCCCAGTAGCACAGACAATAAGAGAATCAATGAATAAATGGGACCTCCTGAAACTGAGAAGCTTCTGTAAAGCAAAGGACACTGTCAGTAAGACAAAAAGGCTACCTTCTGACTGGGAGAAGATCTTCACCAACCCCTCATCAGACAAATGTCTGATCTCCAAAATATGCAAAGAACTCAAGAAACTAGACACTAAAACTCTAAATAACCCAATTAAAAAATGTTGGATTAATTTTTTAAGGTTGCGAAAGTAGAAGAGACATGGTTGGAAGAAGAATCCTAGAGAGAATTGGAATGGAATAACATCAGGGAACGAGAAATATATATGTTCAAAATACACTGTATACTGTATTAAATAGTCAAATAATAAGTTTTAAATCGTTTGTAAATAATAAAAGAACAACGATATCTCCTGTGCGATCGAATCTTTAGGTATGAGGGAACAGCATTTTACAAAGCTGGAAAAATTCAATTCAATCCATAGGACACAACTAACTAAATTTCAGTGCTGACAATAAAAGAAATGTTAAGAATAATCCACACACCACAAGCCCGTGCTCAAACAAATCAGCATATCTTACTAGAAAACTGATAACATAAAACTCAAAGCCCCGAGATGAGAACTGGAGAGCTTTGCAGGAATGAATGCTTGGTCAT